TCTAAACTTTGTTTCCTACAAAAAGACAAAGCAGGTTATGTTTCACAGCTGTTGTTTTTTTTTTTCCCCCGCTCGATATTACGAGCACTGCTCCGTTTATGAAGTCGCAACATGCGTTTAGCCAGGAAAGCTCACGCTGGTGCTGAGCAGAGCTCTCAGTAAGGGACCGTCGGAAAACAGCTTTTTTTTTTCGAAAACAAAAACCAACTTAACTCCGTTGAAAAACACGTGTCATAATAATCACAATTATGCAGCGATTTAACCGTCTAATACTTAATTTATGTTTTAGACATGTAAATACACACAAGCACTAGTAAAACAATACATTTAGAGTTTGTAAAACACACAAGCAGTCTAACAATCCGTTCAAATATAATTTACCGATGCGTTTTATTCATATCAAATACACAGTGAAAATAACTATAAAGTTGAATCGACTCTTCTCTAAGTTCACTTAATTGCATGTCTTTTGGGGAGTAACTACATCTGTCATACATCACTAATGTGGCTGCGGTGTGTCATGTGAAAAACATGATGCATCGCCATGGAAACATTAAAAGGTGAATGTTCTAAAAAAAAAACTGACTCCTGGTTCTAGATAGAATAATTTAAACTCAGCAGTGAAAGGGTTAATAACCGTAGTAAAGCAGGGGTGGAAGAGTTACCCTTGCATTGCAAGACTTAAGACATGTTTTTGCATTTCAAATATGTGGAACACAAGTGAAATGTGGTTTTGGAAAATGTTTGAAACAGGATCTCATGGGAATCATAAAAATGTAAACAGGTCATTTTATTTAATTGCTACAGTATTGGTAGTATCATTAGAGTCATGATAAAAACAGTTTAAAGGTCCCAAAAAGTGCTTTGAAATATGTATTTTTATTCAGTGTTTCTACGTAATCTTAACTTAAACATGAGTGTTTTGTTTTATCACAGCTCTGCCAGTGAGAGTAGCTGAGCTCAAGTGCATCAAATGAAAAGCAAATGGGAAGCGTCTTAAAGAGCCCATATTATGGGTTTTTGAAAATTCCCCTCCATGTAGTGTGTAACACAGCTCTAAGTGAAGTGAAGTATCCAGCTAAGGCTTAAATCTGTAAGAATACAGTGTTTAAAACTGTTGATTCATCTATAAAAGAGTCGACTCATAGTGCTTCGAACGAGTCGCCTTGATACCGATTCATTAGGTGTTTCGCCATGACGTACGAACGAAACCAAGTTATTCACGTGCACGCGCAAACCCGGGAGATTTCAAACCTGAGGCCCCGCCCTCTGACGCAGAAACCCAGACACACACACACACCCACAAACACACGCACACACACACAAACATGCCGGTTGATTGAAGTCACACTGCAGATGGATATATTGAGTCTCTACCCAAAGATGAAACATCAGCATTATAACCAAGCAGTTGGAAACTTCTGGAAGCTACATGCTACAAAGAATACTTCATCTGAGTTTGTTAAAGGAAGGATCAGTAAAGAGTAACTGATGGACGTCAGGATGGGTTTCTTCCATTTCTCAAGTGTAAGTACGTGCGGTTAAAGTTGTTGACTCTAGCTTGCAAATGTATTTAGTTGTGATTTGTTACTTGTAACCGCGTGTACTGTATCAGGTTAACTGGATATATTATCTTATCGCGTGCAAAGTCACGTTAAAAACGCGACGCGTGCTGTTTGTTTATGGAGCTCCGTGCTAGAGTTCTGCTCCCGCGATTTATTCGGAAATTTATTCCCGCGCCGCAGAAATCTGGCGCGGGGACAGCCGCGGGAATAAATTTCCGAATAAATCGTGGGAGCGGTCGGTAACGGGTTTAATTTGGGACGGGAGCGGGCTGTCTAGCAATATCACGGATATTGCTATGCGAATTAGAAAGAGAGAGTCTGCTTGGTATGAGAGAGCGTATGAGAGAGAGCGAGAGAGAGAGAGAGCGAACGAACGAACGAACGAGCTCTGTGTGCTTTGTGCTGTGTGTATGTGTTTATACAGACAGCTTGGCTGTCTGGGCTGTATACTGGGTGATTTTTGGTTGTGTTCTCCGCTCTAGCGGGACCGGGCACGGCGGGCAGAAAACGGAGCGGGTTCTCAGGCTAAAACCTGGCGGGTGCGGGCGGAAGCGGGAGCGTTGTCATCCGGAGGTGTGTGTGTGTTTTGTGTGTGTGTGGTATGGCGAGTACACGACTGTCTCCTTCGTTCGGTTATCCGTGGCACTATCCACTCGCCATAGTGTGGCAGCTAAAATCCACGCCTACACTATCGAGCGTGTATGAACTGTGATTACTTTTTAAATTGCTGATTAGCTATTGGCCATTTCCCTCTCTGACTAAAGGCAGTCGACCAATCGCGACAGACTGTCATCGGTCCAATCAGCGCAGATTAGCTCCGCGCTAAGGAGGGGTTTGGGAACAAATGAATCACTGGACGATTCATAATTATAGGTTAATTAGGTAAATTCATAATTAGATTCATAATTAGATTCATAATTAGGTAAAAATAAATGCAGATTATAAGACCATGAAAGTGTTTTTTGACCTTGCATGCATATTAGACTGTTGTTGGAGACCCTTACAACCAAGATATGACCCTATTTCATGTATAATATGGGCTCTTTAAATGGGGCGGGGCATGTCAGATACTAGAGAGCATTTGATGATGTGATGACAAACTGTAGTATGAGGTGACATGAATAAAATCAATTAATCCATTTGTGTGGAAGTGACAAACTACCAAGTTAATTTTTACGCTTTAATAGCTACAGTAAAAATCTGTAACTGGGTTAACATCAAGTTCCTTCATATATACATTAAATAAATTTGAACAGAGTTTTCCATTTTAGTTTTAACTCACACTCTAGATTCTGCACCAGAAAAAACTGACCACTGTTTGATTTACTTGTATATTATGCAGAATAACTTTAATCGTTAAAGCTTTTAGTTACTAGTTAATTAGTTAAAGTTATTAAGAACTAATATGCTTATTTCATTTGGCTACCATTTTATAAAAACGAAAGCGAGGCTGCGGTGGGAAGAACCCGGAGGACCAGTAGAGGGCCAGTAAACATTGCAACAACATGCTGTGTACTAGAAACCTCCAGCTGTTGCCACGATTTCAAAGTGCAGATGTGTAAACATCACTCTAATGTCATTCAGTTAAGTTTCATTTAAACAATTAAAAGCATATTAGGCATCAAACAAAGTCACAATCTCTGTAAGAGTAATAAGCTTAAGTGTCCTCCGAGGCTTCAGTATATGGCAAAACGCAAACACTGAGGGGACGCTTCCCTGCTTCAGCTTATGTAACCTGGGGTCCATTCTTCGTTTGTGGATTACTCAATTAGCTGGATTTGGTTATTGACGGTTTGACAAGATCCAGGATCGTTTTGTTCTTTAAAACTCATTAAAGAGTTGAGAGTTGTTGTCATAGCAACAGTTCTGGTAGCTCAAACCTGCTAGGGAGCAGGCTCACTTTTTAAAAACAGGATTAGATCAGCTCTGTTCAAGCAAAGATAATACTGAAAGAATGTACTGCTATTTATATAAAAAATGCTGCTATTTTCTTACAGTAATTATATACACTTGGGAAAATAGTAAATTTTATAAAACTTATAAAGTTAAAAAAATATATATATTAATAAATCTATTAATAAAACATTTATTGTTATGAACTTTTTAGATACAAGCGCGTACATGCACAATATTCAACATTTTTTTTAAAGAATAATAATTTGTATGCACGTGTTGGGACCGCTTATATGCCGATGATTTGATGCTCTGCAAAAGTTGCAGACACTTTAACAAATGCTTTTTTGATGCAAAATTAATTTTTATTGGTATTCTTTACGCCGATAAAAAAAAAAAAAACTTGAGTAGGCCTAGGCTACTATAATAAAGAAAAGCTTCTCTAAATGTAGAACTAAATACATTGATATACATTAAAATACATGATGAATACTCCTGACAAATGAAAGTGTAAAGCCTGCAGCTCACAACAGATGTGCAAAGTTATTGCGCATCATGTTTAACAAATCGTTTACTGCTAATTTTCATGTAATTTTGCTCACATGGATAATTGAATAATAATCAGATGATGTCATTACACTGCTGTGCCGTCAGCCAATCAATGTGTGGTGAGCACTGGTGAACACAATGGCAAATCAGCAGTGTTTAAGAAAGGCACTCAGCAGTGCTCAAATGTTAGCGGGAAAAGGCTGTTTTTAAAATTTCAGTATCATGACAAGTCTAATATAGTGAAAGAAACCGTTCATTAACTTGAGTTTGATTAATGGCATCTAAAATGTGTGTTTGGGAAAGAAAACGTTAGCTAGCTAGTGCCATTTCCCTTAACTTAGCTGAAAATGAGCTCTAATATGCCTTTTTATTTTTACTATCCTTTCAGAACAGACCTTCGGGTCACTCGGAAAGCGGTGAAATGATCAATTTGTGTCACTTTCTTTACACTGATAAGATATACAGCCAAGTACACAATACGCCATCGCAGACGCAGTTCCTATATGACTCAAGGCGATACTTCTGGGTTTCTTCCTATCGCAGTCTCACTTTCGCCTTTAAAATGGTGGCCGAATAAAATCAGTCGATTTTATGGTAACTAATAACCTTACTTTTTCTAAATTTGATTGTAAAGCTGCTTTGAAACAATAATAATTGTGAAAAGCGCTATACAAATAAGAGTTAATTTAAAGTGTATTAGTGATTAATTTTTGTTTGTTTATCTTGGTCATTAAAAAATATAATAACATTTTTATCTTCGCACAATTTCCCCTAGGTATCCACTTTTCCTTTTTTTACAACATTTTGTTACCTTTTAAAACACTACGTGCAGAATATTCAAACCAACATCACACAGAATACTGATAAAATCATGATTATCCTGAAAAAATTCTCTCATGACAGGACATTTTTGCCATATCAACAGAATGACATTGTGACTGATGATAAAAATCAAGCATCATCAATACTCTCTCAGTGCACAGTGGGTCTTACCCTCAGCTTCAGTGGGTCTAGGGCTGCTCTCAGACTCTTGGTTTGGTTGTGTTTTGCACGCTTGTGAGTCCAGCTGCTGTATCATTGTAGGGCAGATCTGTTGCAGGCCTCGCTCGTCTATACGAGACTGTTCGCTCATCCCGTACACTGCCAGGGTGTCTGCGGCCAAGCACTGAGAGCAGAGGACAGGACAGAGGTTTCAATTACTGAGCACAGAGGAGAAGCTTGAGTTACAGCATTGAGAAAGCACAGCTGTCACAGCACTGGATAGAAACCAGATTTAACCTTCGCATCCAACACTGTCAGATTAGCAATTTCATACTGAGATGCGCGTCAGGATTAGGGTTCGAAACGAGTCCTATAATAACTCTCTGGGAAACAAGAGTGGAAAAAATAAACATACGATGTGGCAATGTATGTTTTTGTTGTTGTCATATAATGTCATTAAAATATGAATAAATAAATAAATAAAGTGGGGGAGATAAGTATTCAACACATTTGTTTCAACATGGTTTTTTTCCTTGGAAAAAATTTAGGAGCTGTTGACATGAAATTGAAGATTTTAATAAAACCTGAAACAAAACAAACATAAAAATAAAACAAAACAAAAATCTGAAAAAAAAAACTTGTGTAATAACCAAGCGGCAACCTCCCGCTCTCACTCAGGAAGCCAATACGTAAGTAACTAAAACTGCAATTCATCCGAAATTTCGCTAGTCCTGGCCCCTCCTGGCTCCAAAACAGAGCAAATTTCAATTGAGCCCACTGTTAGAATGGCCAACTTTACAGCAGGAAAAAAAGGTGTTTACAGCCTGGTACAAAAAAAGATTTTGGTTAATACAGGTAATATTACCCTTCATGACAACTGTGAGGGGGGGTGAATTTTTTTATTAACTCATACGTTTCCTTTATATTAAGTTATATTAAGTTTGCATAATTAAGGGCGTGGCCACTTGAGTGACAGCTAGGTCTCGCTGGTCGCCGTCACGTCACCTCAGCTGAATCCTGCAGATCAACCACTAAACTCGGCATATTTATCGTATTTCTGTGTTGTTTAATGTGACATTACACAGTCAACTGCCTTTTGGACTTGTTTCCTACAATTATTAGATGGCATGGCATGCTGAGGGCACTTAATTGTGCTCACAAACCATTCACGTGGCCTCCGTTTCCCATGTGAGTAAAGTTATATACCTATATACCATCTCTGTACATGTATTTGTTTTATTTAAGATCATTTATCGTTTATATTTATATTTAGAGCTGTAATGCACTCCAGAATCTGACCAATTGATTAGCTGTAGGCTCTAGAACAGTCATCTGAAGCGTTGTCATACAGTGTTATGCTGGATTTCATCAATAGTCTTACATTTACTAACACAGACTATATCTGAAGTGTTTGGATGTAATTCGCGTTTTCCTCCTGTTGAAAAACGTCATAAGAACAATGTTTAGTGGCTCAGTGTATTACAGCAGTGTTTTTTAAAGTCTAAACACTTTATTGATATAGTGTACGACAAAGCACAAGTGGTCAGAATACAAACGAGTCACAGGTGATAAAGTATTAAGCGTTTCTCCCAAAGTAAAGTGTGTCTGAACCAGGTCCAAGCTAAATGCTAGCAGGTGTCTGTAGCTCCGCTCACTCTCCGCCTCTTTGCCCTTGTTTGGTATCCCGCTGTGGGTGTGATGACGCGTGACCAAAATGGCGACGGTTTGCCGCGCCTACTTGTGGCTTCTTTTGCGCTCTTCAGAAACCTATGGGTGACGTCACGGACACTACGTCCATATATTTTACAGTCTATGGTAATAACAATTAAATGACATGAAGATAATGTACTGAACTACTGAACGCAAGTAATACTTTATATAAAAGAGTATTTGGTGATGACAGATTGAAGACGCCTCTCATATGGAGAATGAAGTCACATGAGTTGTGAATCTTAATGATATTGTTGGTCTTGTCTATCATTTGAGCTTTATTTTGTATTTTCTATTAGATTCAAGTCAAGTGATTGGCTGCGCCATTCTACAGCTTGATTTTCTTTCTCTGAAAGCATTTGAGAGTTTCCTTGGCTGTGTTTTGGATCATTGTCTTGCAGAAGGTCCACCCTGGTTTCATCTTAACCATCCTGCTATTGTAGAGGTTGGACTGAAGCAGCTGATATTAATTTACAATGAGGAAGGGCAGAGGGTCGCTGAAGAACTACTGAGAGATTTCAGCTGCTGTCTGGTAGAGCTGTGAACCTACACTAGTCTCACGGTTCGGTTCGGTTACGATTATCATGTTCAATTCGATATTTTGGTGCATCACGGTGCATTGACAATGCTTTCCATACACAGTTTTATATTTTCTTCACAGCAGCAGTTCTTGTATTAAAATGTATGAATATATTTATATTTATATATCATTTGTAATGCAATTTTGTCATTTAATACAAACAGTCAGATATACAAACTGTAACTTTAAACAAAACAAGCATTAAGCAAATAATATAAACAAATATAAACATCCAGCTCAATTTCTGATCCTTGTCTAGTTCTCTTACACCTCTTTGATTGGTCACACCCTCAACAAAAACGGTTGCTATTGGCTCTTGCGCTCTTCAGATAAGTGACACTGATAAGCGGCAGGCGGCAGCGGCGATCTCACAGCTGATGCATGATAGACACGGTGGAGAAAATTCTGCAGACACGCGCTCGTTTCTGTATCCAAACGTAATGCTGTAAAACAGCCGAAAAGGGGAAGAAAAGCCACCCCAGCAGGTCAAATGGGGCACTGGGTGTGTGTGTGAGAAAGAGAGAGAGACAGAGACAGATAGAAAGCGAGAGCGAGAGAGAAAGAGAGAAATGGAGTAGGCTACTTTCATTCTCTCGATCTCAGTGAAATAGGGGCTATTGTTGTATATGTCAGTGAAAGACTAATCCAGCAAACACACACAGTGAAATTGTGCACAGTTTATGAGTTTTAAGTAGTTAAAGCGTTGTAAATACTCGCGATCGCCTCCCTCGCGACAGAGCGCATATGAGGTAAATGACGTCAGTAATAACCGGTTATGATTATTACTGAACCGATACCGAATTGTCCGCGTCTGCATCTCGATGCACCGAAGAAACGATTAATTTTGACACCCCTAATGTCTGGCCTTTCACTGCCGTTCTACACCTCTCTTTCTTCATGTGTTCAATACCTTTTTCCTGTGTCATTTAATTTAATTACACATAACTTAATTAGGTATGTATTCTTTGCATAGATGGATTTATTTGGTTGTTACCAACAACTAGTGAAAATTTCAAGTGTACAGCACCTTTAGAAATATGTTTTCTGAGAAATAAAATGGTGTATTGAATACTTATTTTTCCTACTGTAAATAAAAAAATAATAATACAAACAAAT